AGAAAACCCTAAAGACACTACCAAAAAACTATTACAGTTATTAAATGAATTTAGTAAAGTTGCAGGATCCAAAATTAACATATAGAAATTTGTTGTTTCTATACACTAACAATGAACTATCAGAAAGAGAAAGAAAGAAAATAATCCCATCTACATTAAAAAAAAAAAAAAACACCTAGGAATAAAATAACCAATTGATAAAGGACCTACACTCAGGAAATCTTAAGACACTGATGAAAGAAACTGAAGGTGACACAAATGGAACAATATACTGTGGCCATCACCTGGAAGAATATTGTGAAAATAACCATGTACCCCAATGTAACCTACACGTTCAATGCAATCCCTACTGAAGTATCAATGGCATTTTCACAAAACCACAACAAATAACCCTAAAATTTATTTTGATTACTGTAATATAGTTTGAAATCATGGAACATGATACCTCCACCCTTGCTCTTTTTTCTCAAGGTTGTTTTGGCTATTCAGGGTCTTCTGTGTTTCCATACAAATTTTAGAGGCTAAAATCAGAACTATCATACGACCAGCAATTCCATCTCTGGGTATTTTTCTGAAGGGAAAAAAAAAAATACTAATTTGATAAGATACATGCACTGCAGCATTATTTACAACAGCCAAGATATGGAAGCAACCTAAGTGCTCACAAATAAATGAATGGATAAAAATGTGGTACACTTATACCTAGACAGCATATTAAAAAGCAGAGATATCACTTTGCCAACAAAGATCTGTATAGTCACAGCTATGGTTTTTCGGGCAGTCATGTATGGATGTGAGGACTGGACCGTAAGGAAGGCTGAGTGCAGAAAAATTGATGGTTTCGAATTGTGGTGCTGGAGAAGTCCAAGTTCCTTGCACTGCAGAGATCAAACCAATCAATCCTAAAGGAAATTAACCCTGAAGATTCACTGGAAGGACTGATGCTGAAGCTGAATCTACAACACTTTGGTCACCTGATGTGCAGAGCCTATTCACCAGAAAAGATCCTGATGCTGGGAAAGACTGAAGGCAAAAGAAGGAAGCAGCAGAGGATGAGTTGGTTAGACAGCATCACCGACTCAATGGACATGCATCTGAGCAAACACCAGGAGACAGTGAGGGGCAGGGGAGCCTGGTGTGCAGTAGTCAACGGGGTCACAAAGAGTCAGACACATGTTAGTGACTGAACAACAACACACAACATTACTTACATGATGGAATATTATTTAGTCATTAAAAAAATATATATATATATATATATATGTAATCTTGCTGTTTGTGACAACATGGATGGACCGAGAGGGCATAAGGCTAAGTAAAATAAGTCAGACAGAGAAAGGCAAATATATGATTTCACTTATGTGTGGAATCTAAAAAACAAAACAAATGAATAAACAACAAATCAGAAAGAGTCATAGTTGCAGAGAATAAACAGGCGGTTGTCACTGGAGAGAGAAGTTGGGGGACGAGTAAAACAGGTAAGGGAGATTAAGAGGTACAACCTCCCTGATACAAAATAAATGAGTCCTGGAGATGAAATGTACAGTATGGGGAAGATGACCGGTATTATAATAATTTTGTATGGTGACAGGTGATAGCTAAACATATAATGATCATTTTGTAGTATACAGAAATACTGTATCACTATATTGTGCATCTGAAACTTAGTGTAAATCAATTATACTTAAAACTTAAATAATTTCATGAACAAAACCAGACCCACAAATACAAATGTATTTTAGTTGCCAACATTTAAAACTCCCACAGAATATTTACATAAAATGTAGATTTCTTTTGAAAAAGCAGACACTCTGGCAATACTTATTAGATGCCATTCTCCCTGACGGAGGCCAAGGAGAAGCAAGCGCTATCTGGTCTGCCTCAGCCCTACCACTCTCCAGGATGTTACACTGAGTCGCCCAACCCACCTGAGTTAGCTGACTAACTCTGGCGTCATCTGAGTTTGTGATGCCCACTGTAGTGAGTACAGGGGAGAGAACTTAAGAGATGTGAGATTTAGGTGTGACTCTGCCATAAATCAGCAGAATAACCCTTGGTGCTTAGGCCCTGCATTTCTTATTCTTAAAGTTTGGAAGTCTAGACCCGATTCTGGTACACCCTGAGAAGCAACTGCTCAATTTTCATTCCCAAGTCTCACTAAAGAAGTGACAATGGCAATCCTCAACATGAAATGTTCCCAAAGCACAACAGAAGACAACTAGAACTTCATTTAAAAACATTCCAAATGACAAGATGTTTTATAAAAATTTTAGTGGATTTTAAAATATTTATAGTTAAAAAGCTAAATCAACTTTCTTTATGGCTGTAAGGTATCTTGTCTACTAGATAATTCGGCAAACACAAAAAAACCTCAGCATGAATGATTTAGATAAGATTACATTTTTGTCTCCACACTAGTATTCTACAATGTATAAATATCTTTAAGGGTATTAGTAGATGAGTTTTAGTAATGATATTAATAAAGAATAATAATTTCAATTATTAAAAATATTATATTCCTGGTACTAAAGGTAAACCTACATGTGTTACCTTTTCATTATTTAATTCTTACAACAATTCTGTAAGAGTGTAAATAGTACCATTTTGTTTTCACTTTATAGGCTCAGAGAGTTTATGTAACATTTTCAAAGTCACACAGCTATTTTATATATATATATATATATATATATATATATATATATATATAAATATATATAAACATGTATATGTGCCAAAGCTGGGTTCACACCTAAGTCTGACTAGCTTTAACAGCCATTACAAATCACAAACTTTTAAAGTTAAATAGAAACAATACCTGCAGTGGTAAAAATTTGAAGAAAAGAAAAATAGAAAAGTTTTTATAAATACCACCACCACACCCACCCACACACACACACACACACACACACACACACACACACTTCTACCCCCCAAAGAAACTTTTGCTAGCATTTTGGCTTATTTCCTTTCTATTTTCCATTTTTGCTTTTAATAACTTATATTAAACATATAATTTTAAATAGGACTGGGGGTTGAAATATTTGGGTTTAAGTATTAGTATTGGCATTTTCATGTGACAATAAGCAATAGAGACCCTTCAAAACCCATCCCTGCAAAACCATGTGACAAGGGAAGCAGGTAATAGGAAGGTTCTAAATAGCATTTTCATAATAGTGAAAATCTGGATACATAAAATGCCCAATCCTAAAAGATGATGCTGTGAAACTGCTGCACTCAATATGCCAGCAAATTTGGAAAACCCAGCACTGGCCACAGGACTGGAAAAGGTCAGTTTTCATTCCAACCCCAAAGAAAGGCAATGCCAAAGAATGCCCAAACTACTGCACAATTGCACTCATCTCACACACGAGTAAAGTAATGCTCAAAATTCTCCAAGCCAGGCTTCAACAGTAATGTGAACCATGAACTTCCAGATGTTCAAGCTAAATTTAGAAAGGCAGAGGAGCTAGAGATCAAACTGCCAACATCCACTGGGTCATCGAAAAAGCAAGAGAGTTCCAGAAAGACATCTACTCCTGCTTTATTGATTATGCCAAAGCCTTTGACTGTGTTGATCATAACAAACTGCAGAAAATACTTAAAGAGATAGGAATACCAGACCACCTGACCTGCCTCCTGAGAAATCTGTATGCAGGTTAGGAAGCAACAGTTAGACCAGACATGGAACAACTGACTGGTTCCAAATTGGGAAAGGAGTACATCAAGCCTGCTATATTGTTACCCTGCTTATTTAACTTACATGCCGAATATATCATGAGAAATGCTTGGCTGGATGATGCACAAGCTGGAATCAAGATTGATGGGAGAAATATCAATAACCTCAGATATGCAGATGACACCACACTTATGGCAGAAAGTGAAGAAGAATTAAAGAGCCTCTTGATGAAACTGAAAGAGGAGAGTGAAAAAGTTGGTTTAAAACTCAACACTCAGAAAACCAAGATCATGGCACCTGGTCCCATCACTTCATGGCAAACAGATGGGGAAACAATGGAAACAGTGACAGACTTCTTTTTTTTGGACTCCAAAATCACTGCAGATGGTGACTGCAGCCATGAAATTAAAAGACACTTGCTCCTTGGAAGAAAAGCTATGACCAACCTAGACAGCATATTAAAAAGCAAAGACATTACTCTGCAACAAAGGTTGCAAAAGGTTGCAAAAAACAAAGGTCTGTCTAGTGAAAGCTATGGTTTTTCCAGTGGTCATGTATGGATGTAAGAGTTGGACTATAAAGGAAGCTGAGAGCGTAAGAATTGATGCTTCTGAACTGTGGTGTTGGAGAAGACTCTTGAGAATCCCTTGGACTCCAAGATCAAACCAGTCAATCCTGAAGGAAATGAGTCCTGAATATTCATTGGAAGGACTGATGCTGAAGCTGAAACTCCAATATTTTGGCCACCTGATGCAAAGAACTGAGTCATTGTAAACCTGATGCTGGGAAACATTGAAGGCGGGAGGAAAAGGGGGTGACAGAGGATGAGATGGTTGGTTGGCATCGCCGACTCAAAGGACATGAGTTTGAGCAAGCTCCGGGAGCTGGTGGATGGACAGGGAGGCCTGGAGTGCTGCAGTCCACGGGGTCGCAAAAAGTCGGACATGACTGAGCAACAGAACTGAACTGAAAACGCCCAATATGTGAAGAATTGTCAAAGAAACCATGGCACATCCTTACAATGCATGCGTGCAAGCTAAGTCGCTTCAGTCGTGTCCGACTCTTGCGACCCCGTAGACTGTAGCCCGCCAGTCTATGCATGGGATTCTCCAGGCAAGAAGTGGAGTGGACAGTTGCCATTTCCTCCTCGAAAGGATCTTCCCAACCCAGGGGTCGAACCCAGGTCTCCCGCATTACAGGCGGTCTACTTACCGTCTGAGCCACCAGGGAAGTCAAGCCATATACGAATTGTTTTAAAATATTTAGTTCTCAACGACTGATCCACCAATCTTGCAAAGGACTGTACGCGATACCCCTTACTTGCCTCAAGCTCTTCGGCTACCACGCGGACCAGGCAATGCTGCGCCAGATGGCAGGGATCCGCCGAGAGCGCGGAGATCCAGGTCACATTCCGATGGGTCCGCAACACTCTGCGCACACACTCCCTCCATAAACGGCACACGCTGGGGACGCACACGCACAAAGGACTGTAAACGGACGTTCACTTCTCTTTCTCCGGCAGCTCTGTACAGACCTCCCTCCGCTCCCCACCACACATAACCTCAACAGCAGGAGATTGCTAAGGGATCCCGAGTCCCTGGGACGGCGAGACGTCTGGCACCGGTTCGGAGGCAGAGCTGGGGGCGGAGAAAACCTTAGGGGGAAACTGGCTCCTCTGGGAAGGGTCCCCGGGAGCACTTACAGCAGGTAGTGCTGGGGTATGGGAGCGCCACCAGGGGACAGGGGTTCCGGAGCCGGGGTCAGCCCTGGGTCCCGACGGTATCCGCCCACCCTCCAGCCAGCAAGCCCGAGGCAAGTCCCGAGGTCAGCTTCCCGCCTCCTCTGCCCTCACCCGGCCACCCGCAGCAACGCCTTAGCGGGCAGGAAGGTGAAGACACGCTCCACCACCTCCGCTAGGTTACTCAGCACGAAGGTGCTTCGCGGATCTGCGGAGGAGGAGCCGCAGCAATCGCCACCGCCGCCCACCCGCTCCATGCCTCACCAACCCCACCGGGAAACAGTACGGCGGCCCGGAGGGAGCGGCTTAGACAGGGCCCTCGGCTCACTGAGCAGGCGCGCGCTCCACTTCCGGCCGATCCGGGGAGGCGGAACCGCTGCGGGGAAGTCCACGTGACTGCAGACTAATACGTTTCCGGAGCTGGTCCTGGGTGGTAGGCAGGTGTTTGGAAGGGGAGCTTGGTAGACTTAATAGGCCATGGGGTAGCAGAGTCGGACAGGGCTGAGCGGCTAAGCATTGCGCACAGTCACGCGTCCTGTAATTCTCCTGGGACTTTCCCGGAGGCATCACGCAGTCAAACCAGACCCACCTCATTCTGTGCCGCTCACTGCACTTGTAGCCGTATTTCCAAGTATTCGTGAATTTCATGAATTCACGTATTTCATGAATTCTTGGAGTCAGAGAGTGTTGTATCGGTCTTTACAGTCCTAATATCAGTTAACAAGAGCATGAGTCTGATTTTTGAGCGGATAGTATATGCTTTTAAAAGTGTGAAAATCAATACCTTTATTCAACATCGTGTAGCCCTCAAGTTCTGAACCTTTAAATCGGCTTACAGAGTATCTACCACTGCTGTGAAAGCACGCCCCAAACAGCACTAGTTCCCTGCCTGTAGCATCAGATTCACCTGGGAAATACTCAGCTTGGCGCGTTCTCGTTCCCCACCCCAGGCTTACTATGTGGGCTGGGGCCCAGCAGTTGGAATTTTAGCTTTACTGTGATTTAAACTTACCCCTGATACAAGTTGAGAACCACAGACAGAAAAATGTAAGCACAGCAGATACTGCTGTCTCCCCAGGGAACACCCACTCCTGTAGCTTCCTTGCTAACAAGGCCCTGATCTGGTGCCCAGCTCTTGACTGGTAAATGTGGTTAAGTCTAAAAAAAGCAGGTCTCAAACATTTTGACTTCAGGACTGCTTCACATTCTTAAATACTGACAAGGCCAAAGAACTTCTTTACCTGGGTTGTAACTATATTTATCATACTAATTCACTTAAAATAGTTCATCACACAGTAACTTATGAAAAAATAACCTTACCAGATCTCCACCCCACTCCCCAATATTGCATAGAGTAGCATCTTTACAGCTTATAAACCTCTAACTTCTGGCTTAGTAGAAGACAGCTGGATCTGCTTCTGAATTCAGTCTGTTCAATATCATGTCTGTCACATCATGTAGCCTCTGGAAAACTCCACTGTACACTCGTGAGAGAATGAGAGTGAAAATATCAAATAATGGTTTAGTGTTGCTTTGATGTTAAAAACCTCCTAAAAGGGTCTCAGGAGTCTCCAGAGTTCTCCAACAAATTATACCTTGAAAACCACTAGTCAAACTAATCATGATAGTTTCATTCTTTTGATCAGCCATTAATTTAGGAGTAGACAAATGCTCTAGTTCTAGGCCAAGAAAAAGTTGTGTTTTTCTGGGAGGGGGGTAGGGGGACCTCTAAAGACTTTCTCACTTCCTAAGGAGACACTAGACCACAGGGCCATTATCTACCTCTGGATGAATTAAGGTGGCTGCACATTCAAGTCTATCCAAGATGAAACCAACACAGAAAGATCTCAAAGAAGCAGAGGTACTATGCCTCGAGTTTTCCTACCTCTGTACTTCTTGTATGTGAGAAATTGACAACTGTGTAAAAAGGCTATGGGGACACTGAACAGGGAACAGATTACTGTAACTTGGGGAATTCGGAAAGCGATGAAGAAAGTAGCGCTTGAATTTATATTAAAGAATCAGTGTGGGCAAGGGAAGAGGTTGAGGAAACCCTGAGTATGCCAAGTCTATACACACCAATTCTGGGTTCTCCAGCTTTCTCTTGTGAAATCAATCTGCCTCAAATCTCTCCTCACCCCATCCCACCATATATGATCCTATTCCAGAAACCCAACAGAGCCTATAGAAAATCAAAACAAAGAGTATCTGTTACAAAAGGAAAGCGAAAGAGTTATATTTTAAATGATTCTTTATTCATAAACTTGATGCAAGTTTACAAAATTTACTGTACATTGCCAAATAAATCTGCAATGAAAAATAAAGTCCAAAAAACCCCCCAAAACCAAAAACCAAAGCATGCCAAATGTGCAGCTGTCAATCTGCTAGCCATCAGGATATTAAAGAATTCAATAATGTATTCAAGATTTAGCCTTAGGTTTAAGGAACTTTAATGCTTTAAAGAATTCTGCCTTGTCACTTGTTATCTGAGCAACCGGCAATTGGAATTGTATACAAATTAACCAAGTGAACAAGAATGCTAGAAAATCTTCTACTATCCTCTTAACCAAAACAGGAAAAAAAAAAAAAAAAAAGGAGAAAAAAAAAGAGAAAGAAATTAAACACAATAATGCTGAAGTGCCAGGTCTTTCAGATGTGGTTTACAAAGTTAAAAAACTGAATCTTAAAGCATAAGAAACACTTTTGAACTTTGTAACTGGTTTGTGCAGAAAAAAATGTGCTTCTGGGTTTCTTTTTAAAAGTGCTTAATAACTAGAGTTTACTTTTAAATCAAATTTGGGTATATTAAAAAAAAAAATCTATTACCAACCCAATAGGACTAATTCAGGTAAGGCAATAAAATAGAGAGTACACTGCTTTGAGTCTAGATTTTATAAAAGAATTAATATATGTAGAATTCCTATTAGTCTTTCAATGTAAAAGCCATTATTATGACTATAGAAAATTTAAGTCTCCCAATTAGACACTTTTTGTACTTAACTGTGCAGTTTTGTTCAAGGAGTCTTTGTGCCAATCACTTTATAAGTTTATTAGTTTACAACTGATTGCAACATCCCGTTAATAAAATGGAAACGTAGAATGACTTAGTATTTTAAATAATTCAAGCTCTATAACTTCAAGCTCTTCTTCCTAAGAAATATTGAACCAACAAGAAGCAGATTCAGCTCAGCAAGACTCTGATGCCCCAGTGGAAATTACTACATAAAAGCTGAATTGACACAGCCTTGCTTTATTTACTCTGCCTAAAAAGTTCAACTCAATTAAGAGCAAATCTTCGGGAGATAGTTTAGATCTTCATAGCCATTAAAAAAAAAAAGTTTAACAGTTTAACAAGTACATTTCCTGTCATTATTTTGGCAATATCATAAAATAGTTTTAACCTGAAAAAGCTACTGTGATTCAGAACACCTTAAATTTTCTAAACCAATATTAAACATTGATTAAACTTTATTGGCTTTAAATGGAACAATATATTGCAAATCCTCATAACACACGAGCTCAAAAATGGGAAACTGGCCCTCAATTCCGAACTTCAGTAACCTGATGCTGACTTGTCTGCTTAAGACATTTCACCTTTCAAGAAAGAGATGATAAGGAGTGGCCAGTATGTGTATTTATCAGAAAAAATACAGTAAAGGCCCCACTGCTCAGTCCAAGATACCTAAAATGAGAAAAATGGAAAGGCTGTGACTTATATTGGATCAGCTGACAGATTACCCACTAAAATATCTATTAGCTAACATCTTCGGTACTGCTGTTATGGGGGCACTCAAAGCTTGTGTCTGCATGTTGGAGAGATTTTCTTTAAAGCAACACTGGTCCAAGCATACAAACGTCAACACATTTAGCCATCCTCCTTTGGAGGGGTGTACCAGCCTGAAAAAGAATGGGTAAAACAAGTTAACATTTTAATTCTTAAACCAACTAGGAGAAGTGGCATTTTAGCAAGGTTAGATACTTTCTCTACCCATAATTTTCTCTACCCATAATTTCCCTATTTAAACCTATTTGTAAAAATTAAGCTTATACTTGGGTTGGTAACACAACATTCTGATATATTCAAAATATAGTTATTTTCTATGAATAAACTGCACTTGAATTTTCAAGGTAAGATCTCTGTATTGATGGCATTTCTACCTAAAGAGAAAAGTGTGGAATATTAGACAACAAGCTAAGTTTTATATAGGAAACTGAACTAAAAATAGCTGTCCCCCAAATGAAATCCTGGTATTTTAGAGCACGAGGAGCTGGGACCGTCATCAGTGCAGTGATGCCATTTCACCAGTAAAGGTGTCATCTCAGCAGGTGCCCTGATTAAGTGATTAAGCCCAAGATCAGATTTAGCACCAGCAGGTTAACTAGAATCCATCTCCTGAATCTGAATCTATTGCTCTTTCATCATAACTAATTATATACACACCCACACTTTCTCAAATACAGTGCTTTCCATAAGCATTTTTGAATGCTGACTATAATGTCTAATTTAACAAAAAATAAGAGGTAAGAAAAACATGTTTCTATGCTCAACAAAAAGATAAGCTCTCTCTAAAAAGGCAAATTAGACTAAGACAAAGTATTACTTGGTACAAAGCTGCCCTTCCAACAGTACAAATATACCAAGATTTGTGGAGTGTCCACGTGCTTAATAAACGAGCATATAGGCATCTTTGGGTCTGTTAATTTAGCGTGCTAGAGATGAATATTATTATGAAAACCCAGCTTTGTCCTCAAATTTTATCATTTCCCTCTTCAGAAGCTTGAAAACTGTTTTGAATACTATTCTTTCAAAAGTAAGCAGTCACTGCAAAAGTGAAAAGTTTGCTCTTTCACTTAAATGAAAGTGAGCATACACAAAACACAAATACTACGTCACAATCTATCACATTCTAACTAAATAAAGAACACTTTACTGGAGATACTCTTAAAGAAAAACTACTTCCTATCAATTAACCTCCTCTGCACAAAAATGCATCCATTCCACTACCCCAGCTACCCTGAATATCAGCACACTTGGTTATTAAGTGCTACACACACACACAACTTATTTCCTTCCTCACCTTTGGCAAGACAGACATCATACCAATTTTAGAGATGAGAAAACTAAGGCTGAGAGGTAATGGGACTTGTGCAGGGCCACAGAGCTAGTGAGTGACACAAATGGCACCTGATAACAGGTCTTGATTCCAAGTCTACTTCTCTGTCATCTCACTATTACAGACAAAAACTCCAAACATGTCTTGTGAATACAAGAAAAATTTAAAATAAGTCAAATAAAGTTTTGAAAGATATTTTTTAAAATTTACAATTCAAATATTCTTAAGTGTAGA